CAGCAACAACAACAACAACAACAACAACGGCGGCAATAACAACAACAACAACGACAACAACAACAACGACGACGGTGCCGCCGCTGCTGCCGCTGCCGCCGCTGCCGCCAAGAAGAAGGCCCAGCAGCAGGCACAGCAGGCTGCTGCCGAAGCCTCCTCGTCCGCCGCCGCCGCTTCGTCCTCCGCCGCCGCCTCGCGTTCCGCCGCTGCCTCGCGCGCTTCCGTATACAGCGTCACCAAGGCGGCGGCGCGCGCCAGCGCCTCGGCTTCCAAAGCCGCCGCCAAGTCGCGCGCCAGCGTCCGCGCCAGCAAGTCGGCCGCCGCCGCCGCCTCGTCCGCCTCGGCTGCCGCCGCCGCTTCCGCCGCCGCCGCCACCCCCACCGGCAACCTCAACAACTTCGCCAACCTCTACGACGGCCTCTCCAAGATCATCATGGAGCAGGCCGACTCGTAATCGCGCGCGCTCCTTCCCATGGACTCTAGATACTGCGGGTCAGCCTCCCTTTCCTCTGTACCACTCTTTCCTTTTTCTTGCTCTCGTCTCTTTGTTACTTCTCTTCGGGTATCTTTGGAAGCAATCTCGCTCGCTGTCGTTGCGGCGTCGGCTCATCGCATCGGATGGTAACGCGGGGTCTGGGACTGCGTCCCCTCCGTCACGCCAAAATCCTGCGTCTCTCCCCGAACGCCTCTTCCCCCTTTCCCATAGGCTCCACTTGGAAGCATGTTCTTCCGTTTGCCTTGCTAGATTTCTTTGTTGCTTTTGCTTGTATCACGATGTCCGCACCACCCCGAGCTGGGCTCCAGAGTGGGTTGCGGGACCGTCGTTGGCTCTCTTTTGCTTTCTCGATGCCTTTTGCCCTTGGCCTTGTCATGGAATGTCCACAATTCTTTGTCACTCTTTTTTTTTCGTTTTCTTGGGGCGGCGTGCGAAGTGCCACGATTGGCGAGCGGATGCTGTCACAGGGAATCGCTCACGATTCGTTGTCACTCTTTTGACCTGCTGGTGCGGTGTATCGGATGCTATGATTTGCGAGTGGAATGCTACGAGAATGCGATTGAGGACTAAAGAATGCCGCAAGAGGTCAAGATATCCCAGGCGCTTCCAGACCTGTCGAGTCTCACGGGCCCGCCGGAGCGTTTGATTTTGATCGAGTGTCGGAAGACGCCGTCTGCGGGGCTGGAAGCGTCGTCGGCGATGGCCTCTGCGTTGGTCATGTACCAGTGCAGGTACTGGCCTTGCACCGTCCACGTTCCCGCCGAGACTTCCACGTCGATTGCCAACAGATCGGACGAGGCTGGGGTGGAAGAGGCGGACAGCTCCGTCGAGTCAGCCAGCACGGTGGAGGCTGACGACGACGACGCATCATCTGCACTTGGACTGTCGGTGATGCTCGAGCGGGAAGACGAGAGCGAGTCGGCGGAGCGAAGTTTTCGCTCCTGCTTGCGTGCCCACTTGTCGGAAGCCGCACCGCTGCTCTTGCGTCGGTTGCCGCGATCGCCGCTAGCAGCAGCCGCCACATCGTGCGCGCCATAGTGCAGGAACGGCAGGTAGATCTCGGTAGGCAGGCCGTGCTGAAGTTCGGCGGCGGTGACATCGACGACATACTCGAACTGGGACGATTTCATGTCAAACTCGATGCTCGCCGGCGTGCCTACGGTTGCGACTGGGAAGGGCCTGCAAAAGGCCGACGCTGCGCGCAGGCCGTTGAGCAAGCTGGGAGCATTGTACTCGCCGTCTCCCGGCACGAGCTCGGGTAAGTTTGTGCTCGACCTGGAGCTGGAAGAGAGGCTGGTGAGACTGGCCATGGGCTTGGTGGCGCTTTGGGACGAAGAGGCCGAGCTCGACTTTCGCGAGCGAGGCGTGGCGATGGTGTCGTCGGGGTCGGCCGATTTGACATCGTTTCGACTCCAGAGGCTGAGGTCCTCGCCGTTCCAGTCGTCGCCCCACTCGTGGGTGTTGTTGGGGCAGTAGGTCCATACGGTGTAGCTGAGCAGGTTCTTGCCGTCGCAGGCATTGAGCGACGCGTCCAAGGCCGCAGTCTGCGCGGTATAGTCTCCGACGCCTCGGCCCTTGTTGTCGCCAAAGTAGGACTTTTTGTTGTCGAGGTCGTAGGGGATGCCGATCTCGCCGATGAGGCTGGGGTATTGTCCGAGGCCGTCGAGACAGTCCTGACGGAGGTATCCGAGCTGGTCGCGGATGCACTGTCGGATGGCCTTGTTGCCGACGCGGATGGCAAAGAGCACGCCGGGGTATTTGCCGCGGAGGAGGCCGACGGCGTCTGCATTGAACCAGTTCCAGTGCTTTGTGATGAGGGTGAGGCCGTCGTAAAAGTGGCCCGAGAGACATGCGCGGTGTTGGAGGTCGTCTTGGGAGATGGACTTGGGGGGCGGCTCGAAGACGGGCGGCTGGATGAACATGATGGCCTCGCGGTGAGTGGATCTGATGAGAGCGGCGTATTGTCGGTAGTGGGGGAGCCAGTAGTCTTCTGCGAATTCGGCGGTGCGCTCGCCAGCCGGGCCCTGGTAGAACTGGAAGTAGGCGTCGTTGAGGACTTCGCCCGTCGCCTCGTCCCAGACGCCGTGGGCAGCCCAGAGACACTGACCGAGGGGCCAAGCGTCGTGGCGTTTCCAGCCCCACCTGGAGCCGCCTTGTGTGCGATCCTCTTCTTCTGTGAGCCAGGCGAGGGTGCCGTTGGGGTCTACGGTGACGGAACCGGAGCGCTTTGGGCCCATGGCGCCGAAGGTCCAATTTTCGAGTGTCTGAGCTTGGCCGGCGCCGAGACGGAAGCTCTGTATGGGGGTTGGTACGGGGCCCTTTTTGAGTTGCCAGTGTTTGGGGATGGAGGAGATGCTTGGGAGGCTGATGTAGGTCTGGTTTGGCTCGTTGACGCTGTCCCAGCCGATGACGCACTGGTCTACGAGGTCGCCGGCGTCTACGATGCGATCGAGGAGCTGCTTGCATGCATTGAGAAAGTGGGACTGGAGCCAGTCTTGGATGTTCTGGCCGTCGATGATGCAGCGTGGCGCGAAATGCTTGCCAGCAAAGAAGAGGACGGAGAGGGTGGCGGCGGCGAGGCGAGTGTAGTTGGTGGCCCAGAGCATGTCCGGGAAGCTGCTTGGGTCTGGATCGGCAGCGTTTGGCCACTCTGCCTGGATGAAAGCGGCCTGGGTTGCTGTAAAGTTGCGCGGGTTCATGCCGCAAGCTACGAGGGCCCAGTACGGAGCGCCTGAACCGCCGGTGAATCGCGAAAAGAGGTCCTGATGCGGGTCCATGAATACGCGGAATCCATACTGCTTGACCTTGCGGAGGACGTGGACGGTGTAGTCGAGGAAATCGGTGTCGTATTTGCCTGGACCCGAATGCTCGATGGCCTCCCAGGTGAAGACGTAGCGGAGGCAGTTGAATCCGCACGAGCGGAGACGGGCGAGATGGACGTCTGCGGAGCCATCGTGGAGGTTGAGCGGCTGGCCTACGAAGCTTTCGCCGCCGGACTCTGCTGATTCCCAAAAGCCGTCGAGTTTCTGGGAGGGTTGACCGATGGGCGACTTGTTCTGGCCGGAGAGGTTGACGCCTCTTAGGAGGAGGGCGCGGCCCTTGGTGTCGCGGAAGAAGGCGTCGGAGGCGTGGATGTAGTAGTCGGGCACCTCGTCGCCCGTGACGGGTGAGTGGGTGAGCGAGGGCGGCATGGCGAAGGGCGATGCGGGATGATGGTGGGGAGGAGGGAGCTCGAGCGAGGTGTAAGAATCATGCGATGCCGCCTTCGTTTGGCCGTTTGGGCCTTCGAGGGGCGGCGCACGAGCCGTCCAACGCAGCCGTCCAACGCGGCGCATTTACTGCAGCTGCAGCTCCCAGCTTGGACAGCAGACAAAGTGTGGGGCTGTGCCTGAAGTGTGGGCGTTGGTTTGGATTTGGGATTGGCGAATCGATGCAGCCTCTAAAAACCTCCACAGCTGGACGAGGATCTGACATCGGCGATCCTGGAATTGTTGAAGCCGAGAATCACGTGATTATGTTAGGTCGTCGAGTAGCGTTCGCGTCGCGTGTTTTTGTGGGCGAAACACACGCAGTGGAGCCGGGCAGAGGCGGATTAGACGAGTGGTTCAACAGTGTTGGTGTGCTGCGTCCACCATCTCCACCACCACCATCTCCACCACCATCATCTCGATCTCGAACACCCAACACGCTTACGCACAATCCGCCGCTTCCTTTAAACGACACACGCGAGTCCGTGCAGGGCTGCTACGCCGCTGTTCCCCGCCATGACGAGCACAACCACAAGCACGCGGCGTTCGACGCTCGCCGCCATCGACCCCAACCAGAACAATGGCCACATCGCTTCCACTCTCCCCGTCCCTTCGTCCGCCGTCAAGTCAGCAAAGACGTATCAGCCGCGCGCTTCCATGATTCCGCAGCAGTCCAATCCCGTCCGCAACGTCAGCGCAACAGCAGCAACAGCAGCAACAGCAACGACAACAGCAGGCGCATCCACCAGAGAGTCGCTGCTCCAGTCCACCCAGCAGCCCATCACATCCACCGCGGTACACTCGGCATCCCACAGCGCTCGTAGAGCCGACTCGGGCATGTACGCAGGACGACAGAGCGTCGCCTCCGCAGGACGACAAAGCGTCGCCGTCACCACCCCCGCCACCCCCAACTCGCGACGATCCATGGTCGGCAGGCTCTCCATCGCCCCGGGCAACATCGGCAACACCGGCGGATCGGGCGTGCGCGAGACAAGGCCCATCAAGGACAAGCACTACAAGACGCGCATGGGTCTCACCGTCAAGGAGCACCTCGAACGCACCGGATTCACCATGGTCGGCTGGGACGTCAACAAGGGCGTCCACGAACCCACCCAGTCCGCCTTTGTCGGCATGTTCAAACACATCTACGCCACCTGCATCGACACCAACTTTCAGATGGGCGCAGACGGCAAAAAGTTCGAGGACGAGGTGCTGATGCTCATGAAGGAGATCAAGTATCCCGCCGCCGACGAACTCAGCAAGACCAAGCTCACCGCCGCAGGCAGCCAGAGCCACTGGCCCTACTGCCTCGCCATGCTCGAGTGGATGGTCAACCTGGGCAATCAGGCCGAGACCATCGGCACAGGTCCACGCTCGCGTCCGGACGAGATCGACGACCTCCAGTCGCTCTTCTTCCCCTACCTCTGGGACTGCTACGACCGCTTCTGGCAAAACGAAGACACCTACCCGGAGGAGCACGCCAAGCTCGGCGTGCGCTTCGAGCACAAGAACGCCGCGATCGAGCGCGAGCTGCGCGAGCTGCAGCAGGACCACGCACGCCTCGAGGCCGAGCTGGCCGACTACCTCAACAACGACTCGCCGCTCAAGGTGGAGCGCAGCGAAAACGACATGCTCACCAAGGACATTTCGAAATTCCACAAGTACTACGACGAGGTGCTGGTGCCCAAGCTCGACAAGACGAAAAAGGCG